TACGAATATAGTCTTTGAGATGCTCTTTGAGAATCGATTTATTTAAGGAATGTGTTTTATGTTTAAAGAGGTGAATTTTGGTGAAATTTTCGGGTAAATTTGGGCAACTTCTTGATTTCCAGGTAAAGTATTACTAAAAACTTTGAAAGCTTCCAGTTTTAACACAAATCAATAATAGAAGGGTGGGTGTGGGTGTGGGCTAAGAGACGATGCATACCCACACACCCACATCCCCCACACCCACCCTTATAAACTTTGTATCGAACAAAAAACACTTTATGTACGCTTTATGTTCTTCTCTTTCAAAGAAAAATAAATGTGGAAACCTCGGATTTAAATCCGAGAGTTCGATGAACTTCAAAAAGTGAATTAGGCAGATGAGCCATCCTAGAATGTGTGGACATCAAAATTATCCTGGCAAACATTTTCTATAAACACTTCAATCCTATTGGCTACTGCTCAGCCAATAGGATTTTGGAACAAATATAGATCAGATTTGAACTCTTCGCCTTGATTTACCCTCAGAAAGTCGTTTTTCCTATAACTTGATTTCTATTGGTCACTGCTAAATCAATGCGATTTCGAAGCAAATGGATTACAGATTCGAGTTCTTCGCCCCATAAAATCTCGAGGTACCATCTCTGCAATAGGAAGATAGAGCTCTATTTATGGATCAATTAGTGCGTGCACACAAACAGAACCAATTTCTGTTTAATAATCTTTGCAATAGATGAGTTAGTCTTCTTGTCTCTTTATATTTTATATACCATTTTGTAGCTCGTGAAATTCTCTATCAAATGGTATATAATAGTTGGGGTTTTATTTTGAGTATGATAAGAAAAGTTTTTTACGAAAGCGGGAATGGGTCGATTTTCGCATAGGAAGCCATAGGAAAAAATGAGTATTTTTGCAATAACTCAGGAATGGTTCAGCCAATTCTTCTGATCTTCGAACTCGACCGAGACATTGTTAAGACTGAACTGTGTACAAAAATTTCATCGCAATTGGACTCTCCTTTCAAAAGTTATTGTGTTAACGGCCGGACATACTGACTGATTCTAGAGTGTACTCACTTTTTGAGTACACAAAAAAATATTAGAGTAAGCTGGTTTAGTAATGGAGTTACACGCATTTGTTAAGTGGACACGACTTTTGGGACACTCTGTAGTTTGCACGAGTAAATTGTAGTGTAGTTTCATACCATTAGATCGTTCATTTTTTTCTATCAAATGAATTTAAATGAATAAATTTGAGCTCAACTGGATTTAACAGCGTAGGAATGACTATTTAAAATCTTTTCGATGTGAAGAATAAGACAAAGTTTTAAAATCAACTTCACCCTGCAATTCAACACAAGTTCGATTCATATTTGTGAAACTAACTTCTTTTTTAATTCATTTATCTTGGTATCTATCCATATCTTTGGATTGGACAATAAACAACACTGGTCTCAACTGGCAGAAACTATTTTCAAGTCTTCGTATATATTATTCATTACAAATATGGAAAACACCTTGAAACTTATGAGAAAAGATATTCATCAATCATAAAATGAGGCATTGAAATAAACATCATGCAGTCATTATAACACAAGAATGCGAGTATTAGCAATCGAACAAGTCAGAACATTAGTAAACAGTGAGTTCGTCGACATTCACAACGATAAAAAGTGACAAACACAACTTCACAAAGCATTGAATTCAATACTGACTCCTAGATATTAATAACTATTCCATTAAAAACATTTTACTCTCATTGTATGCTGTATTTAAATATTCATATGTAATTCATATATTTAGTCAACAGTTATTTTTATTTGGGTGTGGGTGTGGGTGTCGATATCGCTGTCTGCTTCATCCACCCACACCCACACTCACGCCCACACCCACACCCACACCCACACACCCACACCCACACCCTGATGTTGATATATTCCAGATTACAAAAGTTGTATGTTCATCAGATAGAATCTCATTTCTGTTGTCTTTTCTTTATCACGGTTGGTGATGGCTGAGATTGTCTCGACAGCTATTAAGTCGTAGTTGCTACTTGCACTTGTCGGGCGGCATCGGCACCTGATGAAACTATTTGGTCACAATCTGTGCTGCCCAATGTATGTACCTTGCGAGGGTTAATACGTCGTATTTCATATATCATTAATTCATCACCAAAGTCTTCGTAGAGACTATTAAGTTCGATTTTGGCGACGTTCGATAGTGATCTACGAGTCAAGAAATATTCTTGAAAATATTGGTAAACACACTTTCTAAAATCTTGAGTACCAAATTGAAAACTTTTCATGAATGCTTTTTGAGTACAGTTGAAGTTGTCAGCTAATTCGTAATGATTGTTTTCCTTAGTTAAATATCTTTGATCACATAGCTCTTTGATAATAGCATCAGCTTTAAAATATTTCTTTTTTATAACAGCTGACCGGTCTGATTGAGCTTTATTCTTTTCTTTTTGGATCAAATTTTCGTCCATATGCTTTTCAGTTAGGTTTGACGAATCATTGAAAGATATTTTATCTGCTAATGCGTAAACGTATATTAGTTTTTTCTTGCAAACAAATGCCTCGCGAAATGTCTTCTCATCAAATGCAAATTTATTTGAATCAGAGAGATCAGGAGTTTGGTAATATCTTTTGCTCAATCCCACCCATTTTTCCAGCGCTCGGTTACGTGAATTTTGAAGCATGTTGCGTGCACGTCGTATCTGTGAACAAACATCTCGTGTTGCATGTCCAAATGTTTCTTTAACATGATAGATATAAACATATTTCTCTGTAATTCGTAGAATGTCAAACAGCTCAACATTGTCGATGCATATCTAAATAGTAAACAGAAGTGAAAACCTTAATATTATTGAACATTTCTACTAAGCAGTTGTTTACTAAATATTTTCATAGGTTCTGATATGGTTAAGAAAAAAGACGAAAACTAAACCTCTATTCTTAGCATAATCATCTTATACCTGAAGAGTTTCTTTCGGCCAAGCTGGTCTATAAGTTATACTTACTTTATCACCGAGAAAATGATCTTCCATACCAAGATAAGTCATGTTAAAAATGGTTTCTCGCTCTTCTGGTGGCTTTTTATGTGAAGTGGCGACTTTAGCAGATACCGAACTAGTTGGCACTGCGGAGTCCTCGTTCTCATTGTAAGCGTCTTCATTATTCTCATTGTCCCTGACGGTGTTAACTGGATTTTTTTGCTTTGTGAGTTCGAACAGCTTCTTTTGCTTTTCATTCATTTCGCTTATAAGCTGTTGGAAGTCTTTTGGCCAAAATTTTTCATCTTTCTGATCACGTGTAATAGACTCATGATATTTATATGCGTCTGATTCCTTGATATCGCGCAATGTTGACATAAAATTCTCTTGAATTCTTTTTAAATAATCAGCCGATAGCTCATAACACATATTTCCCTTCCGAATAAAATGTCTCCCAGATTCGGCATCGTAGTATTCTGCTTCTATATAATTGATTAATGGTTCTTTAACCGGTTGACCATTTTTTCGTGTGAACGAAATTTCAACATTTTGAAGTGCAGTTTCATAGACAACATTTATTTGCGCCTTGATAGAATCGTTCAAGAAAGCGTCAAGCACAGCGCTAATACTTATAGGCATTGACAACGTCTTCTCAGAGTGAATTTTGACAGTAATCTCTGATGCATCGTAAAAATCTTCGACGTATTTATGGCATAGGCTAATTGGTAAATCTGCAATTGTTGATAATGCATTATCTGATTCTTGATTAGTTGATACTGTTAAATACTGTTGTCGGCGCTGGCAATATTCAGACATCTGCAAATAGATCCAACGGTTCATTTTTGCACTATCTTCCGGCTTCGCTTTTTGAAGATCATCGAGAAAGTCAAACGCTGCCAAATCTAATTCGGCTTGAGGACTTAGTTCCGTACTATTGCTGTGTTTACAACTATCACTGGTTTTCATGTATGTGTCTCCTTGTCGTGCAATTGTGCTTAGATGATTGAGTAAATCGAAATATTTTTCTTGTGGAATCGTCTTTGTTAAGAATCGAATTAGTCTTTTATGAATCGCTAGTTGCACATTTGCCAATTTATCAAAGATGGTTTCTAGTGAGCAATTTTTCCTTAAGCTCGTTTGAACTAAAATATGCTCATTTTCTACAGCTCCTTGTTTTGATATCTGTCCACTACTAGCATAAATTTTCGAAGATTTTGCAATCGGACCATGTAACGGTTTAACATCATGCTTTTTTATTGTCTTTGGATCTAACAGACGTTTGGCGATTCGTATCGGAAAATTATAGTCGACTATGCCCTGCAATACTTCCCATGCCCATCCGGTCGTCAGTGCAAATATTTCCCATTCCGATGAGCAGTTCGAAGTCGTTATTCCATCATCTTTAGACGTAATTGTAGAGTCCTCTGCACGACAATAGTGTCTATGAAATTGCTCTACTGAGTGTTTGATTGTAGAACGGTAGAAAAAAAGTATAAAAACCAGCTTTTTCTCTGTCAGCTCGGTACTAGTTTTAATTTCTTCGGTACGAAACTTTTGAATAAATTGTGCCATGGTCGACTCGACGGATTGTGAGCAGAAATAAACGCGCATCTCATAGCCATTATTGTCCTTGGGATCCCATAATGGCGTAGCTATTGGTTGGAAATCGCTCTTTTCAGTTCTTCTTCGTCGCAAATATGCTTGAAGCCATTGTTCAATTGTTGTCGTTTCGATTGTAATTTCTCTGGCAATTATCCTTTTTAATCTAATAATGTCTATATATTGAATACTAAGTTCTCCCATTATAGGTTCGTTAACTTCTTTTTGCCGGCGAGCACTTTTATTAGGTGCTTTCTGATGTAGTTGATAGGTAGTCGTTGCAGCTTCCATTCTTCTAGGAGATCTATGCTATAGAAATAAGTGCAGAATATATCAATGGTATGATACTACTGATAGTATGTTTCTCAGCGAACAAGAGTCACTAGCATCGACTTTTTACGATTGTCAAACTTTACGGTTTCTCTTTATTGTCAACCATACTGCTAATCTTCATCTCCTGCTCCATCGAAACGAAATATAAAACCCGAAACACAATCTGTTTATGCTTGCAAAAAAATTGCACGATTGTTAAGCAATTACCAAGGTAATTAAAGTGTGCTAAAAATACAGTAGATGGTAGGTTTAGACGGTGTTTTAAGTTAAAGGCATTCATGGTAGAACGAGATGCACTTACATACAATGCATGTCAATGCAAGATCTGTTTAAACGCCTTGAAATAAAAACACATTTAAACGTAATTGTAGCGTTTTTTTTAAAGCTGCTGTTGAAACACTGTTTTGTATCATAATTTTCATGAGTCAACGCAAAAAGCTCGAGAGGCTGTACGTAGAAAATAGAAGAAAAAATACGATTGTACTGTGAAAAGCATTAGTGACTCCTCACATCCACACTAGACGCGCTCCTATAAGCCTCAGTAGTAGAGAGCAACAGATTGTAACGACAGAACGTAGAGTGAAGAGTAAAAGTTAATAAAAGGAGAAAAGAAAAAAAAATGCCTGTCAACGCGGCATCTGACGAAACTTATATATGCAACTAAGATGCATACAATGGGCTATTTAATTTCAGTCTGAATTTATCAAATAAAAATAATACTTGATTTCAAACTGAAACGTGAGTCTAGGAGTGAGGGGGGCGGGTGACTGAGGGTGTGGGTGTTGGTCTGGGGCCCACACACACACCCACACCCATGGTGCGGGTGTGGGCGCGCGAGTGAGGGTGAGGGTGTGCTTGTGGTTTTGTGTACTATAGGCTTTAGTCCCCTGCACAGGGGACTAAGAGGGGACTAAGCTTTTTGTGGGGGGGACTAAGGGGGACTTTGCAGGACTAGGGGGGACTAAGGGTTTTTAGTGAGACTACGTAGTATCAAACGAGAAAAGTTTGATTCGGAAGAAATTGGTGTGGTTTTTTTGATTTTAGAATTCAGTTTGAAATAAAATAGCCCATAGACTCCTAAGATGACGGTGAGACATTCATAAAGAACATAGAAGAGAGAAATTTTACACCATGACACTCAACATAACCAATACACTCGACGAGTTCTCTTTCTATTCTCCTAAACAAAGCCATGAAAAATATTACTAAATCAAACATCAGTGAGAATAGAGTTTAAATTGCAAGTTATTGTTTTTCTCGAAACGACCTTGAAAAGTTATTATCGATGTAACTTTATGGATGACGATTCATTTTGGAATTTTCCAAGTATCTTACTGAAATTGGAAAAAAGATCAAATTGTTGCATGCTTCTTACGAATTCCACCTCGCTAGGAACTCTAACTGAAGAAAATCAAGACCAGGTTGTTTTTCTTTCGTTAATTCTCTAGAATTGTGGCTTTTCTCGTTTACACTTTACGCTATAAATCTACTAAAGACTATTTTATCGTGACATCATTCTACGTTTTGCAATATTTCAAAAGCATTTCTGTATAACTAGGGTGTTGGTGGGGTGTAGGTGTGGGTATGGGTGTGGGTGTGGGTGGGTGTGGGTGTGGGTGTGGGTATGGGTGTGGGTGTGGGTGGGTGTGGGTGTGGGTGTGGGTGTGGGTGTGGGTGGGTATGGGTGTGGATATGGGTGTGGGTGGGTGTGGATGTGGATGTGGGTATCTATTGACATGAATATGACAGCCACAGTCACAGCCGCATTCCATCCATTCCCACTCATACCCACGCACATCCTTATTTGATTTAAACCAAAACACCTGACAGATATTCACTTGCGAAAAAGAATGATTCTATCAGGCAAATATATGACCTATATATGCGATTAATGGCAATCGTAGAATATCTCAAAAGCAAATATAAGTGAATCTCTTACAAAACACAAATAATTGCTTTCTTGCTAGGTCTTATTTTTCATTTTAAAAAACGATGTCATTCGATTGTCACGAATAAAATGTGTTTTAATAATAATTTTTCATTCTATCTATTTCATCTAAATCCAATGATAGGTCTAAGTATCAAAAATTGCACAGTTTGATTTCATGTTCTTGATGACATGACTTTTTTTAGAGAGTAAATTATTCGAGAACATATTTAGATTCTAACTCTGCTATTTTGAATAGTACAAGGTCTAGAGTCTTTACTTTCAAAAGCCCGTTTTCGGAAGCTTTTTATAAATAGTTGTTTTTTCCACTGAACGCGAAAATTTTATGAAAAACTCTCGGTTTTATAAAGAACTTGAAAATGCTTCTAAAAAGTGAAATAAAGCAAACTTAACGGTTTTTTTTGCTGTAATATTTCAAACAATCGAAACTGTACGAAGTATTCAAACAAAAATAAAGTCTTTTTTGTTTCATCTTTTTTTATTCAAACCCTTTAAGGTCATGCAATCGTCTTATTCGCTATAGAACAGTAGCAGAGGTGTTCCTCTAGGTAAAGAATATAGAACGAAGAAAAAAGTAAATTTAACATTTTCTTTGTACTTTTGTGGGCTTAAACGGTAAAAAAATACGAAGAAAAGAGAAGATAAATAACTCGTGATTTATAAGTTCGAACTGCAAAAAGATATGAAGAAGATAAGCATCTTTGCTTGTATATATATTTATATAGCCCGTAGTGTGTGGTCTATTTTTCACATCTGTCCTAGTGTTAATTTTTCAAGCAACTACTCTTCCACGACAACAAATGTGTACGCTATTTCATCGCAATCATTTATAAAAAATCCATATATCTCTCACCTACCTGGGATTACTCCTGAAACAATCGAAACCTGTTCTCGTCTTCTTCAACATAATCACGAACATTATCATATCTTCTTTAATAGTGAACGTCGCTTTCACAATCATGCCACACATTATCTTCTAGCTGCATTAGGTCTTGGTGCTTCATCTCATACATTAGAACATATCTATGAACAACAGAAACAAATTCAACAACCCATACGTCCATTTCACGATAACAAAGACTTTGATGTGAACAAATGTTTAGGTGATGAAAATTATTACGGTAACTATTTGGAATTCTTTAAAAAAGAATTGGAAGGTGAGAAATACCACGGAAAAGTCGAAGATTTAATTGAAGATTATTTATTCAATAAAGATTATCTCGATCTTGTATTCAATGGTGCTTATCATCCATTTATTCATCTTGGATATGCCTTGGAATTTCAAGTGAAAATAATGGCAGTTGAAGGATTAGCAATGGCAGCCATTGATCGAGTCAATGTCAAAGATGTCTTAAAACATTTGAATTATGATCAGAACAAAGATGGCAATAAAACAGCCTTAGACATTATTGAATTGATTATCAAAGATCAACGTTTCGACGACAAGGTTTTTTACAATGATGAAGCAACTAAAGTAGATAAATTATTAGAACGAGGTGGTGGTCCTTTGATTGCAGAATATGCTCAAATGTGGAAATGTGATTTAGATGATCTTAGACGAGCTAGTGTTTTGGTGAATGCAGCTGTCATACGACCGAAGAAAGCACTTCGTCTCGATTTCTTCCTAATGCATGCAACAACAAGTGGTTTATTCTTAGACATATTCGTTCATTCATTGAAAAAGAAAGAAAATCAATTGAAATTCTTAAAAGCCAAATTTGCAGTTGATCTTCTCTACTATGCTGCACGTGGACGACCACAGTTAAATGTGAATTATTTACTCAATGAATATCAACCATCGAAAGAACATTTATATTCAGATGCGCAAAATCCATGGCTACCTCTCATTGATAAATGTTTAACACATCGAGATACGCATCTAGTGAAGACAATAAGGGTATTGGTCTATGCTGAAAAATTTGATGGTGCACAAGAGAAAGATAAAATGTCCTATTTAAAAATAGCACAAATGACAATGGATGCTCTCTTTCCAGCCGATAAAAAACAATGGTCTCATGATGGAGTTGGTTGGGGAGAATATTGGAAAACAGTGAAAGATTCATAAATAGAATATGATTGGACAGAGGCAATGAAACCTTTTCTATATTATTCAAGACATTGTTACTTAGTTTATAAGCGAATTTTGTAGTTGACTAGTTAAAAGAAATACCGCTTGATCTTATAAAGTTAAATCATTTTATCTGTCGATATTTCGCACAATTCTATTCATCGATTTATTTGTTCGATTAGTGATCGACGAAAAGAAACTAACAATCGAGATTAAGAACATCATTCATATGTTACACTTTTCTTTTTCGTTCAGTAGAGATTAGACAAGAAAAAAAAACTTTGATATGCAATGTAAGTGATCGAAGTCGAGCGAATGACTGAATTTGACACCGAGATAAGAAAATTTCAGATTGATGTGGTATACCATCAAAATCCGAGAGTATCAATGAAATAATTTGGTTCGGCCGAAGATGATAGCACATAAGATCCAAATGATATTTTAATAGTTGATTGAAAATTAACTTGATAACTTGAATATGAGACTAAAATGGCATCAAGATAGGGACTGTCATTATTATATTTTCTTTGATCAACATCTTCGATTATTATTTGGCTAGTGGCTGGTGTTTGCTCGTCGTGCTCTTCTTTGAATGCATCTGTGTTTCATGGTTCTATGGTGCTAACCGTTTTTATGAAGATATCAAAAATATGATTGACTATTATCCAGGACGGTTTTGGAAATGGTGTTGGATCGCATTCACATTCTTCCTTTGCATTGCAAGCATTACATTTCACATTTATTATCCCGAACGATATAGAATTAATCGCATCCATTTGTATAAATAATTTCAAGCAGAACTAAATAATGTACATCCTTCAAATATTGTTGCTATATGTACAAAAAGAAAAAAAAAGAGAGAAAAGGAACGGATATGTGTGGAATTTTGCAATTGTTTTTCAATGTTTTCGAAGTTTTCTTTATTGAACGCCTTATTATGACAGGTCAAGAGGTCATTTTTCTGCCTATATCATTGTTCTCTTTATCCGTTCCTATGGCGATTTTCCACTTTTCCTATAATATATAAATTGTGAAGTCTGCTCGCATACTCATAAATTCAGCAGCACAAGTGATATTATGTATTTTCGTTATCTCAACGAATTATTCGTAATGGATAATCATGGCTTATGGCTTTACAAGTGTAAAGATACAAATATTTTTCCTATAAACACATGTTTCAGTATTGTTGTAGGTGCTTGCAAAGCTTCAATCTCTCTTGAGGGGTTCACAAATGAACAATTAGACATACTTAAGAAAGGTAAAATGTCCAAAGTGATAACTTTTATATTTTTGTTTCTTTCAGTTTTTCAAGAAAACAAATTTCCTGATCTGCAAACTAAGATTCTTCTTGCTAATCAACTCAATAGTGATGTAGAAATAATTTCTGTAAGAATCACATGTTTTGATAATTTATACTTATATAACTTTTCTCTTAATGAATAGGCTTGCTTTCTTTATTATCGTTTCACTGCTAGATTTGATGATCGTCTACGACGTTATATGGCACGTATTGCAACTTTAAAGAAGAATAGGCAACAAATTTTATTCTCTCACTTTATTGACTAATCAAACATACATAAAAAATTTTCCATAGACATGATGTACTTTCATTTTTGTTGTATAAACTAATAGTAATTACAAAAGATACGAAACTCATATTGTGCACTAACTATATTGCGAAATTTTTTCCATTTACCTGTCCGAAGAAATATTGTAATTTGAACCCATATTCAAACAAAGACTTTGAATTTAGATTTGTTCAATCATTGATTATTTATTATTCTTCATCAATTTTGACAATATGAATGCATGTTTGATTGAAATTGTCTTCCGAAATAAAAAAGTTAATGATACATGCACATTCATCAACTCTTCTCTCCCTCTCTCTACTTATGTAATTCACCAGTTCTATTCGTCTTTTCCCCATTCTTTTCTCTCATTTGCTAGTACCAGACCAATATAGAACATTCAACTCTATCCGTATTAATAACAGAATAAGAAAATTAGCGCATGACTGCTATTTTCTTTATTAGGGTGTGGGTGTGAGGTATGGATGCGAGTAAATAGAAAAAGCCAATCCACACCCACACCCACACTCACCCCCACCCCCACCCCCACCCCCACCCCCACCCCCACCCACACCCACACCCGCTTTTTGTAGACTAATGATGATGATGCTCAAAGAGAAAATGCAACTGGAACGTAAAAGACCAACTTTAAGTTTCAGAAAATATTTCCATGAAATTAAGAACATTACGCTTATCTGTGTTTCCTTCTTTTTTTTCTTTCATTCAGAACAAGTAACAGCGAAAATATCTTTGAATGTTTTCGTCTATTTTTAGTCAGATTGTTTCTTACGATATTGGTTATACTTGTATTTAAGTTATCCCTGAAACAAATAAGATAACAGCAAGTGTCAGTGCTGAAAGCGATCTATCACTGGTTTCGATGAGTTTTTCGAATCATTCCATCGAAAATTACAGTAAAAAATCAAGTTTTGATCTCTGAAATATTTTTACTTGATTGTAGTTTTATTATTTATATCTATGTCAACACTAGTTCTAATGTCTCATATCAAATGGTATCTAACTTTCTTTTTTTCACATAAAAACCTGCATTAAGACGTGCAACTCTGATAGATGTGAGCAAGTAAGTTAATACATTATAGGATATACGTTGACAGTATGTACAAATCGAGTAATTCCATATAATCAGTTAGTTGCCTGGGCGTACAAGAAATTAGTGGAAGACAGATCAAATTCCGCTTGTTTTTAAGATAAAGTTTTTTTTTTCGTTGAGTTCCCTTTGTATTGAAAAGGAATAAAATATTCGATATATAGGGGAAGAATTGTGTGAAACGACATATGATTTGTCTGTTCTTTCGAATAAAATATTTTTGATAAAAGTTCAGAGGGAACGCTTTCTTCAAAGATTTGTGAGAAAAAAGTTTGAGTTCCTCTCTTTCTTATCGTTTACTTTCGCTCAGTCTTGAAGATCATTATTTCTACAAAGAAAGAATGATTGTTTTGAAAAAGAACCTATATTCGTGCGATCTATAGAAATAGTTTAAGGTGCAATGAATGGAAAGAATGAATACGTGTCAACATGCATCGCCCACAAGCATACAATGCAAATAGAAAGAAAAAGCAGAGTACAATGATAGAATGTGTTCGATAGTTAGACGAAGAGAGATGACAACCGACGTTAAAACGAAGATTCTTTTCCATTTGGTATATTGATTATTTTTCGTATGTTCTTTCTGTCATATCAATTCATTTTGTTTGTTTGCACAAGAGCTCCAAATTTCAGTCTCATTAAACGATATAATCATATTTTTCTCATTACGAAGTCAATTAAAAACTATTTCTCTTCAAATTTCTTTTTTATGTTGTTTGCTTTCGCCGTAAATCATGTGGTGATTTATCGTCAGAATCAATAAAGAAGCATAAGAAGAAAAGAAAACTAATGATCACTGTTTTGGCATAATGACATATGCATTATACTATTTTTATTGTTCCATCGATTAAGATCAAATAGAGATCATAATGGATAAGGCAACATGTCATGACTATTAAGTATATTTCTTTTACTATTTCAATGATGTTGATGAAATCAAATACTCAAGCATAGCTCGAATATGATCTTCTTGTACCATTATCCTACTTTTTATTGCGTTTTCATTATTACGGTCGCCACTTCATTTTTGCCTGATCAATCTTCCTTCGATGCTTATGGTCTGAAAGTTGCTGCCAATGACGTACTTCTCGTTGAATCACTTCCTTCTCAAGACTCATTTTTGCTTCGTCTAGCTCCCTTTAAGTACTCGCGCATTTGCACACTTGGCTATAATGATTCAGATCAATATGTTTATGCAGTAGCACTAGCTCGACAAATGCGAGCTATTGATACAATTCGATTCGTCTTCATCGGCATTAACAAAAGAACAGATGTTCCATTTATTGGTTCATTAAATTATACAGGGATTAGTGAAGCTGCACATGTAGCTACAATAACAGTGACATCGAGAAATATCTTCTCATGCGCTGGATGGAATACGAATAATTATAAAATACATAGTTTCGATCAGTTTATGTATGAAGAAAACGATTCAAATGGTAACATGGATTTCTTTGTTGTGGCTGTTGAGTAAGTATTCCCTTCTTTCATAATCACGCTTATTACTGAGTAAGATCACAAAGAAAAAGTCCTAAATATACTGATTGTTACAATCGAACTATAATCAGGATTAATGAATTCATCTCCCTAAACTGTAACAAACTCCTATGAAACATGATTATGCATCATCATTTAAGTATATAGTGATAAAATCGAATATTCACAAACATTCGATAGATATATTAATGTTCTACTTTCGACTTTTTTGACTTGGAACTTTTAAATTGTGAGCAGATTTAAAATGTCGAAGTAAAGATGGTAAACTCAGTCGTAATTTGATAATCATTTCTATTCTTCATCATTAATTAGCGTCCGACTAGTTTGTATTATCTAAATGAATTTACTTCTGATAAAACAAACAGTTTTCAGATTCAAGTTATATTACAGTTTTTGCTTCGTAGCCCACTTATCCTTAGAAAATTTTTTGATACAATTCTTTTGAATTATTTCTAATGAAAACTATGAATAAATTTCTAAAATAAAACAGAAAAGAGAAACCTATGCTATATTTAAATTCTTAAAAGGAAAGAAAATTTTATAGAATTAAGATACATAATTTTTCATTTTGAAAACTCTAGATACTTATTGTTACTATAGTTTTACTAAGATAGAGTATGAAAGAAAGTAAAACGTTTTTAGCACAATTCTCCATGAGAAAAAAGGCACTTGTTACGCTCGAAATTTTAAATTTACAAAAATGTATTCAATGTCTACAAGTCTATAGTTGAAACATCCGAAATATTCAAAGAAAGGTCTAAAACTTCAAAATGATAATTACAAAACTAAAAACACTGCTTTCTGGTCATATGAACATATTTGCC